AAATGTATGATTTTCTTATTTTTTCGTCTGCTTCTCCTGATTCCTGCTGTCTTTTAGAGTTGTTTGTTCTTAAATGTGGGTTTCCCTTTACATCAATGAATGTTAAAGCCTATCTGCACTAGTTTGGCCAGGAGGGATTAGACCTCCCTGCGTGTTCACTGACAGGTTGTTCTCTTATCAAATCGGCTCTCAATGTACATAAGAAAGAGGGGATCATGGAGGATCACCTGTCACCGATTAGGCACTGACTGCTATATAGAGGGCGCAAGTAGCTATAAGTAGTACATTGGGGCTCTAAAAAAGGGTGTTATCATTGCCAATTTGAAGAGCAAGTAATAAGGAACAGAATCATACTCTATGATTCAAATGTCAGATATGTCATTCAGAGAAAGAGACGGGATACATCAAGGCATGACTAACACACTTCTGTGAAAGGACAGATACGCCTTTGTGTCACTAACATTATCTCAGGATTGGATGGGGAAGAGTATGTGGGAGCTTAAAGGGCATTAAAGCCATCGTTTAACAATGTTGAATCTGAGATGCACGACCCTACGTGTTATCAGTGTCTGTGATATGGAGTAATATTGAAGCCCTAACAAAATTGCACTTCAAAATGATTATGAATTGCCTCATTAAAGTTTTAAAAATGTGAGAGTGACCGGTTCTACCATCAATTTCCCCAAAAGACTTGTGTTATAAAAGAATGTTAGGAAAATGAATTTTCAAATTTTGATTTCCAATCATAAATATCTTGATAATCAGACGGGTGATCGGCTTGTAAAAGCTGTGGGGTTCCTGACTGACCTAAAGGTTTTTAATTATGATTGCAGCATGAGCTAAATCCAGGATTTTGTTTCAGAATCTGAGACAAAGATATCCAATCCCTTCAAAGGGCAATCCAACATATGTTATTATTTCATTTGCATGAAAGCTGAAGAAACCCCAGAAACACATTGGCAAAAAGTTTGAATATATATTGAAATTGAAATTAAGTATTTGACCATTGAACATTCAGAAATTTGTTTTACACTGATAAAATTTTACCAAGATCAATTTACACATAGCAATGGGCCCAATAATAATAGAGTTGAGTACGGTACTTGAAATATATGAGATCACTAGAGCTATCTGAATCTCAAATTGCCAAAAGTTTGAAATAAATATGACCAGGAATTGCTGCATGCCCTCATACCATTTGTTAAAAACACCCAGGGAGTGGAGATGGTGCACATTGTGTGTGAAGGAATCAGATGACTGGGGCAATAATATCTGTAAAGCACTTGTATAAAGCAATATTTAGATCCAGATTATTATTATTAATATGTACCGGTAACTTAACCAATATTGTAAGTATGCATAATTATGAAGTTATTTTTGTTCTTCTAAAATAATGATTACCGGTAGTACATTACCGGATGGCCAGAAGGAATTGAACTTAACTCTATGCATGGGTCAATATACATTTAGTTTATAATAGTCTAGAAGATGATAAGGAATTTCATGAAGATATAAATGGTTTTATGCTCTCCCTTTTTTGTGCCTCTGATGAGCGATCTCTGGTAATTTTTTTTCATTTGCATTTCTTTCTCAGCTAGCTTGGAGTCCAGCCAAAATGTCATTTTTAAAAATATGTTTAGAAAAATTAAAATGATTGGCAAAGAGCTTATAATGTTTCAAGTGGTTTTGATAAAACTGCTGTATTTTATAGTTCTTCATATTTTGGCCCACACACATGTAATGCATTTTAGCTGCTCATGCCATGTCTGTTAGACTCAGACTCTAATTTGACACTTATTACAATTCCATAAAGTCTTGAGCCAAGCCTAACTCTGTCAATCATCGACTGTGCCTTGTCCGTAGCAGCTACAGTACAGAGCCTATGTGGTCTGCTCTCAACTTAGTCTCGCAGTGCAGACACTGTTTAAAATGGGCTGTGACTGACAAGGTTATGCGCTTGTAGACTAGCCAGTGGCTTGTGGACGTTTGAGGAAGTAATATTTGTAGGGTCTGGAAGCAAGGCTGAGTACGGAGAAGGAATGTGCGTGAGACATAGTATGACTCATGACATGATGTTCTTCGGATGCGGCTGTGTCATGACTACTCATCATCAGCATCATCATCGTCTTTGGGTCATGTGATAGGAGCGAATGGGGGACATTCGTGCTTCATCACGAGGGCAGGCTGTTCTGAATGCCGTGGAGAAAGCAGTTCCTTTAAAATTCTCCACTTTGATCTCTCTCTCTTTCCTCTTTCTCTTTCTCTCTCTCTCTCTTTCTCTTTCTCTCTATCTCTCTATCCTCTATGTCGCTCTTTTCCTCCATCTCCCCCATCTCTTTTTTCTTTCTTTTTTCTCTTTTCTGTCTCTCTCTTCACTCTATCTTTCTCTCCTTCCCTCTCTCCCTCTCTCTATCTATCTCTCCCTTCTCTTTATCTATCTCTCCCCTGTCTATCCCTCCTTCTCTCTCTCTCTCTCTCTCTCCCATTTCTCTTTTCTATCTCTCTCTATCTTTCTGTCTCTTCCTCTGTCTGTCTGTCTCTCTCTCTCTTTCTATGATCATCCAACATTCTCCCTAGCAATGGTTGCTTTTCAAAGATTTAGGGTTAGAGATGGAACTGAAATTGGGGTTTAGGTTAGGTTTAGTGTTACTTACTGTTAGTTAAATTATTTCAATAAATTTAGTTCATATTAGTTTATAGATTGGGAATTCCGCTAGTGTAAGCAGTTAATCTGGGATCAACCAAGCCTTTGCACATGAATTGTGCAATTGCAATCAAGACTCAAGAGCCAATTTGTATTCATAGCTTGTCATACCAGCAGCATATGTAAATAGTTTATCTAATGTGATATCCTCTATACAAGAATGGAATCTTGTTCAAAAGAGTGTAGAGTTTCTTCCTTATTAACAAATAAGATGAAAATAAATGTTGATAGCGATCTTGGCACCCAACGGTTCTGTCACTCATTCATAATCAAGGCATTGCCTTAGGTCACTTTAATTCACCATATTATGACTGAAGTAAATGGTGGAATTGACTTTAATGAAAAGTGATGTGTTTGCCTCAAGCCACACTGAACCTCAGGTCACAATAGGCCAGAAATAGATTAAAACGCTGAGGGGTATAATGGTATTAAAGGAAAAGACCAATTTTGGAAACGCCCCCCTCTCAAAAAATGAAATGGAAGCTCTTATTACCAATCATGTGAAAGAATATGTTTTGATTAATACGTGATGATACAAATTTTGCTGAGAAACCGCCCACTATTTGATATATTTGGTAAATTATTTTATCTATTAGGACCTGATAGATATCGCGCACGTGTCGCATAGTCCCATATACATCTTTCTGTGTACAGTGCGTGTAACTTTACCAAGACATGGCCAAATTTCTTATCATTTTGATGATTCCAGAACCTTGCAGTACACACCAATACTTTTATGCTAGATGATCAACCTTTTCTGATTGATTCCACAACATTTGTTTCACAATGCAATCGCATCACCATAACTGGTTTTTATCTTTAAAGGGCAATCTAAACGTTGTAATTATTTTATCTGTAAAGTCTCATGTACACATCCCAAACACCATTTTGAAAAATCTTAAATTTTTAGACTACCATTTACTCCAGTGGAAAAACCAATAAATAACCGTTAAAGTTTGCTCATACTGCTTTTGGGGTGAGTAGTGTGCATGCGCGACTCGTTGGAGACCTGTCTACGTTAGCACGGAAGTGGGGAGAGTCACGTGACCAAAAAATGGTATCTTTCTTAAGTTTGCCTTTTACACTGCAAAAAATTGGTGAAGCTCCGGCTGGCATTAAAGAAAAAAACACTCCAGCGGTAGATTTTTTTATTTCGATAAAAAAAAAAAAAGAGCCTTGTAACACCACATCATACAGATTTAGGCTGCACACAATTTTTGTCTTCTATAGGGGGTCCCATTTGAGTTTGCATACTCTCTACAAGCTTGTATGCTGCTTAAATGTTCATCATTTCATCTAATTTATTCACAGCATTTTTTACAGCAGCTAATTTAATTGCCATTGTAATCTTGAAATGTGATAGTTAAATACGATGTGTGTATAATCAAATTTTGATATAACACTATCTAACTATATATTCTATATTCATTCATTGTTTGTTTATTTGTTAATATTTTTATTTGAGAGCTTTTGAGATTTCCAGCTCTGTAGCAATCTTTAAAATGGTTAAACTTAATCATTTTCTGACTGATGGTGCTACCCATGCTACCGTTGGTATTTACCAAGATGTTCTTTAATCTCATCTTCGCATTCATCAAAAGAACATTTCCAATATAATGCGAGCATCATAATTACATTTATCATTAGTATTCAAATATGATTATACCAGTAATTGAAACAGCATTGTTCCGGGCCCTATTTCACAAAACTTGTTATCAGTGACAAATGATAGTGAAATTCTTTCTTCTGATTGGTTATCAGCAGATTTGTCACTGATTTTGTCATTTGTCATTGAAAAAAGGCTTTGTGAAACGGGTCCCTGATTCATGCATTTGACAGTCTTATTACTACTGTTATAGCCACTATCGCTCTTCTTATTTTAAAGTCCTCTTTTATCAAATGAATATCAGTATTTAGAGGTATTATCTTATTGGTACTTTCATAATTTGTACAATTAATTAGGGATATCATTATAACACCATATTTGTATGATTGATACCTATACCCTTTTAAAATATGTTTACTTTCATAATTGTCTTTTTTCCTTTCATTGTTATGATTATCTTTCTTTTCAGAATTATTCTTATTATTGCTGTTGATGTTGCTGATTTTTTTGATTTTTTTTCTCAATATTACTATTAATATTTTTATAATCATTATTGCTATTACTATAATTATTATTGTCATTATTGATAATACTATTATTACTATTATTATTATTATTATTATATCTTTATATATACACACATATATACTATTTTATATGTTCATATTTCATATCTTTTCATATTTGCAGACAATGAGGGCTTCCGTCCAGGTCTCACGCGGAGCAAATCCAACCGCCTCGATTCTTCCAAATTCTCAAAGTTCGCCGGCTCGCCTAATTCCTCCGGCAGCGAGACTTCGTCCTCGGACAGCAAACGACACACGTTTGCCGGCACGGGCCGTCTCAACATGTCTCGCTTCTCGCAGTTTGAGCAGGGGGGGTCGTCGGATAGTTCTGATGGCGGGTCCCGCCCGATCAAGAGAAACGCGGGGACTCGGTCCAAAAGTCTCAAGTTTGGCTCTGCGGTGAGTTTGAGTTTGAGTGTGAGTGTGAGTGGGAGATTGAGTTTGAGTAGCAGTAAAATCTGCCAATCTCTTTTTCAATCTAGAAGATGAGAAACTTTCGGAGGCACAAAATGATTGTGAATTTCACCACTATATTTCAGACTTTTTAATGTGGTTTGAAATAATTCACGTTTTTTCCCCCAATTTACTTTTGAATAGCAACATGAGCAAAGGACGGTCATGAATTTTATGAGTATTTCATTGAGTTGAATAGCTTCATCAATAGAAGAAAAACAAGAACAAAAACGTACACAATAAAAGAAAAAAATTCAATTAAAAACGTGCAGGACATGACATGTTCATGATTTTTTGTTCAGTATTCCAGATTTGTGAATGGTTTCATACACATACCAAATTCATGTTCAGGAATCATTTTGTGAGTATTCCAGATTTGCAATGTTTCCATGCCTACACATAACTGAATGACTATCGTATGAGGAAATGGTTTTTGCGCAGACCAAGGATTTAAGGACAAATTCACGAGATGTTAAATTCATGTAAAACCACATCAACCACCGACTATATACTTTTCAATGATCATCATTCTATTGCTCATATAGTATAATTTAGTAGTCTACCATTTTGTTTAACCCAAAACCGTCTACTATCTGTACACTTCAAGACATGGAGTCTTTCTGCGTTTAAAGTAATCATTTACTTCACCTGTGTGGAGAGTGGCAAATGGAGATTAATATCTTTGAAAGGGATATCTTTGTAATGGCTTGAAGTCATAGTTCAAACAACTTTATGAGGTGTCATTTTTGGAGGAACAGAAAAATAAATTACAAGAAACCAAAAGGAAGTCAACTTGATTAAACAAAATATGTTATGTTAGTCATTGGCTTTTGCTTGGTACATACCGACTCCTTGTCTGGATTGTTTCCGTGTCACGCGCCCAATAAGTTAAGAAAATAAGAACCCTCAACTTTAAAATGAAGACACTCCTTACACTCCAATTTTTTTTGAAAGCCTGTCTACACTAGTTTGGCCAGTGGAAATTAGACCTCCCTGCAAGGTCACTGACAGGTGGTTATCTCATCCAATCATCTCTTGGTTAACATTAGAAAAAGGGGATCATGGGGGACCAACAGGCACCGATTAGTGGGGTTTTAACAGATGTATTCTCAGGGGTCACATGCTTAGTGGAGACTTGTCTCTGTCTAGCAGCCTTTTCACACACAGCTGAGCTAAAATTCTATAAACATGATTAGTTTAAAGGGCTTTAAACTAATCACCTGTACATATGACATCATTCACACACAGAAATTTTGGTGCGATCGTTAATCGTTTCGTGATTAACTACTGCTCGTAAAATGAACAGTAGTGCCATTGGGCATTGAAGGTCATGTCGTATCAATCAAAGCGCACGCTCCATCCAGTTTAAACACGTCTGAAACACGAATAACCTTTCACACACAAAATGTCAAGCTCTCTAGATACGAACTTCGTATCTGCAGCCTGCTTTTAGGGGCGTATGAATCGCCACTTCGTATCTATCCCAACATCGTATAAACGATGTTCACACAGGGAAAATTTGCTATAAACATGTTTAAAACTGTTGAGTTAAACACGTTTATGCTAATCATCTCTAGATACGATGAATTTTAGCTGTGTGTGAAAAGGCTGCTAGATGTAAGAGATGGTGATCATGATGATTAAAGGGGGAAAAAAAAGGTTAAAAAGACAGAATCTGGACTAGGTGCATACCTGAGTCAAAAAATTGCTTCCCGAAACAGATAAAAGATGAGAAATTCTTGTAATAGGAAGCTAGCTACCAGCAAAACAAAATACCAGGTATTAAAAATAATGTCATGAAAATGAAATAAAAATGATAGTCATACCCATATACGAAAGATAAACAAAAGAAAGAATTTAAGGTTGGTCATAAAAGGTCCCATATTACATCACGTAGCTTTTATGATTCTGATAACATGGCATTTAATGGCAGTATAAAGAAATACTTGTTTCTCCTATACTCTCTCTCTCTCTCTCTCTCTCTCTCTCTCTCTCTCTCTCTCTCTCTCTCATGTAGCACATAAACTACAATTTAATGAAACTACTTGTATACCAACTTGGTGTGAAAACAAACAAAACAAACAAAACAAACACAAGTTTCTACTTATCACAGTTCCTTGATTTGATGGTTTTGAAGATTGGTGTCAAATAATCTCTAAAAGGAAATATTATTACAACCGATATCCTGTTCTGTGCCTAGTCTGACCCCCCTCTATCAAGATATTAGTGGAAGAATCCAGATATTATTCTACATTCCAGACCCAGACAATTATTGTTACGATATTTCTCATCGTCCCTAAATTGAATATATAATTCTTTGTAATTAAAATGCTGATGATCATATTAATGATTATTTGTTGGATCAAAACGTTTTTTTTTTCATCTAAATAGTCAGAGAGTTAAGGAATGGATGGATTTTCAACAAAGGAAGAAAGCAGGGTCTGAATTGTTAGACTGTAAACCAGGAAGTGTCGGCCAGTGAAAGTAAATGGTTCACAGCAGAACCCCTGTATGTGCATGCAAGGCTATCCAGCTGTCAGACACACAGGATATACACCCATACACACACATGCTTAGAACCCTATATCTTCATTACATGGTACACATAACCCCTATCTATTGTACCTAGTCTGAATTTGCAGACCTCTTTAGCACTTAGGCCACTCTGATTCAAAACGAATGTTCAAAAACATGACTTTCTTCCAGCGGTTTAGGATTTCTGCAGTATGCATAACTAATCTGGCACTGGATGATCATTGCTGAAATGGTTTAGGGGTTACAATTTTAATAAAGTATCCAGAATTCCGAATTTGCTGAAGATTTATTGTTGTGATTTCCTGGGGTGCAGACTAGATGTAAGAAATCTCTTCCCCATTGTGAATGGAGCTAGCTGAGGCAGGCAGAGCACTGCATTACTGAGCACTGAAGCAGACTACATTACAAGCTCACTTCTATGCATCAAGCTCGATCAGCAAAGCCTGCGACATACATCATCATCATCGCCACACATAGACTCCCTACAGTGACTCAAAACACTGGACACTTGCCTTACTTCATCCAAGCCATCTTCTTGAAGACCAAGTTTCATCGGGGACCCCCTACGGACAAGCTGGACACATGACCGACTAAAACGTTAGGCGACACACGCCCCATCACATACACATCCTGCCCTGTGTATATTATTAGTTACTAGTACTACCTCGGTTTCAAAGCTCCCACTTAATTTCCGTTTTCTACAACAACAACTTTTAGACCATTCCCAAATTTTGACTAAACCCTGAACAGTACTGTTTGTTTACGTTCGACGTAGCCAGACCGAAAAACAAAGATGTCGACCGAGACTACGACGACCGAAAAGAAGCCACGATTCGTGAGTAGGAGGACTCCGGCAGGGAGTATCAAATGATTTGCAGTTTTGATTCAATTTTTGTTCCTTTGTTTTTGTTTTTTGTTTTGCTTTTGTTTTTATTTTTCACATGTCTTGTTTGTGTGTGAGAGCTAAAGCCTATATATGCTATCATGAAGAGAATTTCTGTCTCGGACCAGTATAGACGCACATCCAATTTTGGAGGATCTCTCCCATATTATTGGAGACTTAGCTTACAAAAGAACAAAAGAAATAACATCTATATCTACGGCAAGAAATTGTCAAGAGGGGAACCATTTCATGAGGAATCGATCTGCTCATATTTATATTTACAGCGGAGGCAATCGCTTTGCCACAAATATAAGCAAAGGAAACTGGTATCCCAAATCGGAGACAGTCCCCAAAATAGGAGATATGTATACCGTAGCATGTGGAATTGAAAACTTGTTCCAAGGGAACAGGAAAATGGTGCCTGTATCATTGCTTTGTGAATTTGCTTATCTTCTTACGCTCCAGTTTTAACTGCCTTTGCGCATGCCTTCGTATCTAGGCAATACTAAAGGTGATTTGCTGTTGCGGCAAATATATACCTGCACTGAAACTCAAATCCATCCAGCCTTCATGCCGACTGTGCAAAACTAATTAAAGACGAAGTTGAGGTGTGGGCCCGGTTTCATGAAACTTGTTATCAATAACAAATGCTAAACATCTATGACAAATTTGCTCTCAGCCAATCAAATGGCACGATTTCAGTAGCTTATAACAGTTATTGTTACTTGTCATTGATAACAAGTTTTATGAAACTGGGTCCTGGTCTTAGGACTTCATTTTGAAATAAACCTTCTGGAAAGGTTTGGAAAAGGATGATTAAGTGGCACTGAATTATTAGTGAATGCTGGGATGTTTTAGAATCATCAAATTGAAAGAAGTTGACTCGGCTCGCTGAAAGTCAACACTGCAGTACACAGAAGTGTGCATGTGAGACTGCACAAGCATGTGGCGTGAAATTGTGGTCCAAACACTATCGCTAGTTCTTGTTATGTTTCGCATAAGAAATTATCCTATTCAAAGGACATTTCTTTCTTGCTGTTATTCCATGCTATTCTTCCATGCCGACAGTAAACAAAAATATGAAAAAGCTCACAAATCATTTTGCCATTCTCAGAACTCATCTCGTTAAAGTGTAACGGCCGATTGGAGTTCATTTAAGCTAAGTGCTTGGCTGTCCAAAATCGTTTGAAGCAGTTAAATCCATTCATCAAACCTAGCGATATCAGTCAATACTCAATAGTGCACTTAAACATACAAGCGAATGCCATTATCACTTGTGATGGGTTAGCCGTACTGTATGGGCTTGTAAAGATGTATCTGGACTCGAGTGCAAATGATTTTATGACTTCCTTCTGGCGTCTGTGCATTAAAGTCATAATCAAACCTTTATGAATAACAGTTCTTTAACCAACTGGAGTTATCAAGGGTTTTGCTGTAAATGCTAGCTTTTGTCTTAATCCTAATTGATGCGGTTGTGCCCCTATGAAGACTAATTTTTGTTTCATTGAAAGTTTGCAATTTAAACTAA